TCCGATTCCAGTCCTTTTGGGTGAAAATATCCATGTTCACTTCGGGACTTCTCGCGGGTTGCGGTATCTACACACTGATCGAGGTTAGCTTTTTGATCTTCGGGTGTGGATTATGGTTCGAGACATGTGTGGTGAAATTGAAGGATGAAAAGTAAAAGTTTACAGAAAAGAAATAAAACGAGGACACACGATCAGCCGGGTTGCGGCTGGGGTTTTTACACCCAGATTTCAACTTCTTTATGTTCTTTCGAAGTCAAGTCTTTCTTCACAAAAATGTACAACTCTCGTTTTCTTCAACTTTTGAATTTTGGGCTTTTGGCAAAGTTTGTCTCGAGTTCTGCGTCAAGAGAGGGTTGGATCAGTAGTAGTGCTTGTTGTAGAGTTCTTGGTCCTTTTAAAGTTTCAAGCTTCCGGAAAACGAGGGGAACCGAGGGTTCCGATTCTTGAGGGAGGTGACCCGTTAGGGGTTCTAGTGAATGGTCATCTTCCGCTGAATTTGATGCGGCCCAATCAATGGGCTTCTGCTTCTTAATGAATTGCAGACCTCGGCAGTGGCTGAGCGCGCTGTCGAGGTCAAACTCTTTGTTTGAGTCGGTGTTTTTGACGGATTTAGCCGTCTGTTTCGGCCTTTTCGAAGGAACGCTTTGAGCGTATTAAATTTGGCGAGGATTCGGGTCCTTTTGCAACGGTTTTGGTTTCTTCCTTCAAAAGGAGTCGTGAGAAATCTGATCTGCCAATCTTCTCAGGCCAGAAAGAAATCTTTTCCTCCCGAAGGAAATGGTGATTTTTGCTGGAAGAGCAATAATTCTTTCGTAAAGTTCGACGTTTGCGAACATATACAGCTTAAATTACTTGGCGCAAAAAGTGCTGCCATAAAAGTTGTTATCCTTCCAAAGGATATGTCAGTAAAAACGAGGAGTCGAGGACATTCTCGAACCTTCGTTTGCAGCTGTTTTGTCCCCTCTTTCTCTTTTCCCCGACAACATGAAACTCACAGAACTCCACTGAATTTCGCGGATTTCTTTCACGAATTCTTGGTTGCAGTGTCATTAAATAATATTCAGCGGTTGAAGAGAACGATGCCTGATTAGAATTGGTTTCATCATCGAATTCATCTTGTGGAACTGAGATAAATTCACTGAAGCAAAATTTTCCAAGTTGGAAAAATCATCTTAGGTTCAATGATTACCTCAAATATAATTCCTGGATGGTTACTTCGTAATTTTCCTTGAAAATGCATGGGAAGTTCAAGAGAATTGAATTTGAAACCTAAAATTTCACATGGTGTAATGTATGAAAGGCAAATGATGATAAGAATGATGTGCTGGTAGTCGCTCCTTTCCATAGTAATTTTCCTTGAAAATGCATGGGAAGTTCAAGAGAATTGAATTTGAAACCTAAAATTTCACATGGTGTAATGTATGAAAGGCAAATGATGATAAGAATGAGGTGCTGGTAGTCGCTCCTTTCCATTGCACAGTACTGTATTGTAAAACGCATGGCATGACTAATTTTGAGTTTTCTCGTTTTAATAGATCCTTTCTGATCTTCGCCACGGAAGAGAGATCACCCTTTCTAAAGATGGAGCATTCACTCCCGTGTTCATACTCCTGTATTTCCTTTCCTTCATCGGAAGCTTGGACAGGTAAATTACATTGTTTTTTTTTCTTTAAACATTGCCTTATTATTGTAATCCCAGTTGTTGATTTAATTGAAATCTATTTTATTTAATCGTCATTCTCCAATCGGAAAATCTCGTATTGTGCGTAGGATTTTCAAATTACAATGAAGCGTTCTATTGCAATCATTTTTGTTGGAATTTTCTGTACTGTAAGGGGACCGAAACATTTTTATCATTCTGTAAACCTGCAAAGTTGAATACAGAGAAGTTGGATGTTAACTGGAATGTCGATTTAAAATTGAAATTCTCAGAATTCGTGATGCTTGAACAACTTTATAAAAGCAGGCAGAACGTTGCTGCCATTCGTATTTTCACATTTTGAACGATGACAAGGCTGATCGCCATATTTTTTGTGGATTGTGCCAATTTTGGGAAGTGCTAACTTATCTTGTACAACATGGATGACCTCCACTTTCCTTAGAAATTACCTACCTCTGTTTGCAACTACATTTTAAAATTGAGTTTTGGACACATAGTATTTAATCACGGTTTATTCATATCCGACGTACAATGATCCTTTTTTTTTAAATTGATTATTCACTTGCCCCTCGCCCAGCTGGTTCTAAATTGAGTTATGAGCATTGGGGTTTCTACCTCTTCTGAAACAGATTGACAAGTGCTTTGAATACGTGATTAAAAAATCTCTAGAATCCACCCTGTGACGCCGTAGGGCCTTTTTTTTGGGCGAGGAGTTGAACGTAAAATCTCTCCCTATATTTTATCAAAAGGCTTGATATCGGCAGCATGAACATCCGGAACATGCAGAAAAAAGAACGTATCCTGTCACTGCTTGTGATGTTGTGCTATTCCACTGGACTTGGGATGGCGTTGACGACGATGAATGTGCCTCTTGAAGTAATTCAAGGCATCACGACATGGCGTGTCGTCCTTTGCGGAGAAGCAGCTCTGCCAATTGCAGCCTGGCTCCTGATTGCGCAAAATCCAGAGTACAACGCATTTACATCCCGGCTCACCCAGCTTCGGGATGAATTGACTGGAAGTTCAAAGTGAAATCAGTTGTGTTCGTTTTTCTGGTCGGAATTTTTTTTTTTATGATCGTGCTAACGTTGAATCGAATTGAAATGTGCTCCAAAAGCGCGTCTCAAATTTTCAGTAATGTTTTCTCGTGATTTTGCCTACGGTGGAATTCCGTTCGCTTCGAAAAATGTCAAGACATGTTCCATACGTGCGAAATTGAAGCCTTTTTACTTGTTAGTCAAAATTCCACAAGGAATGCTCGGGAGTGCCAAGGACTTCGTAGGAAATTTTTGCTTGGAAATTGGGAATAATTCTCTGAGATATTTCTAAAAAAAAGATTGTAAACCTTTCGGGTAATGTTTAGGAATTTTGCAAGAATACGTTTTTCTCTGACTAGTCAATACTGGTGGAAATGTACTGCCAAAAACTTGAGAGCCTTTCAAGCAATCTGGCTCAACATCATTGAATAGGAGCTTCTCGCATATGAAGAGCGGAAATCAGGGTGTTATTGAAAAGACGGAATTTCCGAAAAGAAGTGAAATTACATCGGGAGGAAAAATAGTCACGCTGAGAAAATTCGAATTGTGTTACTCTTCCAGCATCTATAGTGAGGTTAGCTGTTAGATTTTTGATCTCAAGTTACATTCGCCAAGTCTTTTCAAATTTCGTCTTGTGTCGTGTCAGATTTTGCTGAAGATTTCTCGATTTCTCACAAAGTGTGAAAAATAATTTTTGTCGCGCTTTACCACGAAAAGGGCGAGCGTGAACAGATGAAGTCTCTGAGAAGCAAGCGAAAATCATCAAATAGCAGGATTAGAATCTAGCAATTATCGAATAAGCAAATTGTTCGATCATCGAGAGAGTACAGGTATCAGAAGAGCTAGGCCCTTAATGAGATGGGATGGAAATCAGAAAGTGCGAACATATTGCTGTACTGTTTCCCGAGTGTTGACACTTCTCTGCTCATTCGTGTATTCGTCATACTGGAATTTACGTTTGTTTCGGTACTTAGAGGGTTGATGTACCTGCTGTTTTATGTATTTCCCCTTTCTTGTTTACCTTTTCACGATTCGCACTTCTATGTACCTGCTCCGTTCAATTTCAACTTTTCGTGTACTCGTTCTTCTGTTGTTGATCCGTGGCAGCGTGTTTCGCAGCTGAAAGCTGTGACTGTATAGGGAGATTCAGCTAGAGAAAATTTGATCCTCCATATTTTCAAAGTAAATCGATCGCCGCATAGAATCGTGTGCCACATAAGCGCCGTATTTCAATTGATTTCGTTCAATAGAAACTGAAACGCGAAGATTCTTGACTGTGAAACTTATCCAGCCTCGTGGGATAGATTCTTGTCCATTCGAAAAAATTGGCTTTAATATCGATCTCTCGGAAAAGTGTTCGTTTTCGTGAAGCACTGTATGTTGTGTTTATTGTGATAACCACTGGAAGAAGAAAAAACAAAACAAAAAACAAAGAAAGTGATCGTGTTCTGCCCAGAAAATTTTCTTTCATTTCGCCGACGTTCGAAAGCAGCTCAGTGTTGGTGTGTAGTTCTTGTGTTGACAACGCATCGCATATTTTTCTTACCTTTTTTTTTTTTTTTAATCAAAAGACGCGATTGAATTTCAATCGCGATTGAATTTCACCTCATAAGATTTTAAGGAATCTTCACCGGAATATCTTGTTTACTGTACTTCCAATTGTTTTTTTGATGGTCGTGGGTTTTGGTGCTGCCAGGGAAGCTTTTAAATTGAATAATTTAATCTGTTTATATGCAAGCGGACTCTCTCTACCACGAAATTTAAAGGACTAGAAAAAATTCGTTTTACAGAAAATTTAGCTGTAGAAAACCCTTATAAATAGAGGAGATGGGAGCAAGAAATTCGTTTTAAAAAAAACGTAGAGTCTACTTGTAATATTTAAAATTCAGTGAGTATCCAACTGAGTGTGCAGGTGTAAAAAATGATGAAATGTACGATCATTAACATAGTCTGATCTCCGTTTAACTTTTTTGTTTTTTTGTGCGCTTCCGAATCTGAAACGTGCTCTTTTGTGAATTTAATAGTTCAATTTTCTTGTGCATGCATTGTTTTTACTATACTGGTCTTTCAAGATACGCTGTGGTGTACAGAGTTTTGATCTTCTGCTTCGTGCGGTTGCGCTTTTATAATTTGTGTTATTTGTGCATGCCATTCCATGATTTGCTTTTTAGAGCACTTGCTCTCACAGGATTAGTATTATTTCGTACGCGTTTTGCGACATCTCGAATTCTCGGTTGAAAGTCGTAAGAAAATCAAGAATGCAGAAAGCTATGCGCCATTTTTTCGCTGATCCTGGCGTCGGTATAGTCATGGTTCGTATTCGTTTGATATCGTTCGGTACGACGTGAATCTCACGAGAATAATTGAAAAGTTCTCGAGCGTTTCATGGAATACATTTTTATTTATTTGACCTTCATCGGATTTAGTAATTCGGCTCGTTGAACGTGTTGGTTTCGTGAAGTCTTAATTGCTCTTCGACCACGGGGAAACAATCGAAGGAAGTGCTGATCGTGCTTCGTAGGCCCGGAGATATCCCGTTCATTCGTCCAACTTTCCGAAGTGTTTGCGCATGTTTCTGGTGCTGTACGTGAAACACTTAGCTCAGTGTTAGTGCGTTTTGTTGTAGACAGAATACCCGGATTTTCGTTATGGAGGGCTACGAAGCCTGGAGCCCCTCGACTCCAACCCCGTCCGCGGACCATTCGAATTGCGACGTGGGTCCAGGCATGACTTCCGGCGGCATTTTCCACGTGCTCTCCGTCGACAGATACTTCGGAGTTCCCGGCAACCTCATAATCAACCTGGCGGTCTACGTCGCCGGGATTGTGTTGTTCTCGTTTTTGCGCAAGAAGGCGTGGAACTATGGACGAATAGCCCTGTTGGAGAGGACGGAACGAGCGCATTATGTTCCTGGTCGAGACGCGAGTGTATCGCTGCACAATGCGGACGAGATGGATCATGGACACGGGCAATCGAGGACCAAGTGGCTGAAGACGAAGATGTTTGCGAGGTACGGTACGGTACGGTATGGTACGGTGGAAATACCCCGGAGAGCGGCTTTTATCCATTTCTTTGCAGAGTAGGCCGTTTTGTGGGGAATGCGAGCGTAGTCCCACTTGGGCGCGACCATTCAGGGGTCATTTCTACATTAGCTATGACTGTAGAAAAAATTACTGTATGATACAGCCCGAGATGTTGTAAGGTTCTGGGAATTTTTTATTTATTTTTAGAAGTATTTTTTAAATTTACTGGATGATGAGTGAAAACTTTCCAGTCAAGGCCAGAGTTCCCCACCCATGTTGGTGCTAATACTTCGTCAGGCCAAATGGAAATCAAAATTTCGTCATTTAAAAAATCATAATCTAAAATTTAGAAAATAAAATAATTGAAGCAAAAAATTCAATTCTTCAACTTGCATCAAGTTTTTTAGAACCCTGTGTCATTTGTGGAGAACTCCAGCTGTAACTGCTGGAGAGTTTTCACTGATCATCATGCAGTAAATTGACAAAGGTTTTTTAAAAGCTATAAAAATCCCAGAACCTAACAACATATTGTGCTACATCACAATTTCTTTTACATTTACTGTATACCAACGCTAGAAATAACCAAAGTTGTGCCCATTAAGAGGGGAAAACCCTTGTTTGAGTCAATTACCGAAATTCAAGGGACCAGAAAAACCGCGCGTTTGTTGGAAAGAGAGAATTTAGTTATAGGGAACCCTTATGAAATGGGTAGAGAAGTCGTAGGGTAAAAAAAAAACTTTGTTGTGCTGTAAAGAGAAAATTCTTGTGTTTAAAATTGTTGCGGAGAGTCTACCCGTAATATTTCATTTTTAGCCGACAGTAGAACTCCAATATTTCAAAAATAAGAAGACTTAATTTTGAATTGTAACACGGATTGATCCAAGCCGATTTTTCAGATTTAAAATTCGGCCAGCACAGTATCAGAAGAAGAGAAAGTGCCTAAGTGATTAGTTATGAAAATGATAAAATTTAAGATCATCGATAACCTAGTCTCTTCTCCTTTTTATTACCTTCTATTTTCCCACTTGGAGTAAGCAGAAATGTTTAAAATGCATCTTTGAGCAACATTTTGTTACTGAGTTCTAGAATTTTAGCTGTGTATTATTCTGGGTTATCATTGGAAATTTTAGACGAATTTCAACAGAAAACTTATTGCGATGGAAATAAATGAATATTAGTTGAATTCGGGATCAATCCGTGTTAAAATTCAAAATTAAGTCATCTTATTTTTGAAATATTGCAATTCTACAGTCGGCTAAAAATGGGGTGCGTGTCTTACTCCAGGGTACGATTTTCAAAAAAAAATTTGCTTGATAAACCCTGGTGTGTGTCCTTCTCAAGGGCGCCCGATACTCATTTAAATACTCTTGGAAAACAAATTTTCTTGTTCCGTACTAATTTTTGTAGCGGATGATGGTGACATAAACTCATGATTAAAATTTGCTTTTTTCCCTCGACATTCCTCTCTTCAATCAATTCAAATTAGACACGCGAGGTTCGCAGCCAGCGAACGGATCGACCGAGAAGGCTACTTTTCCTGGGTCAAGTGGGTCTTCGTCCTGAGCCTGACCCGGATCGGAGAAAGATGCGGTCACGACGCAGTTCGCTACTTGCTCTTCCAACAATACCTCATCCTCTACATGTTTGTCCTCACTGTCATCTGCACCCTCCTCGTCATGCCGCTCAACATCGCAGCTTCCACGGCCAACACTGTTCCGGGGTCCCTGGGCCTGAACATCACTGTCATTGCGAACTTGGAGCCGGGTTCTCGGGTCTTGTGGGTTCACGTCGTCCTCGGGATCTCGTTGTTCCCGTTCGGGATCGTAGTGGTCAAGTCGTACAGGGGGAAGTTGGTGCGGATTTTCGGTAAGTTCCGGCGGCCGATGTCGAGGACCGTGATGGTGGAGAAGATACCGAAGCACATGTGCACTTA